CGTGTGTGTGCGTGCCCAAGATCCCGAGAGGAGAATGGAGGAGAAGGGATTGCGGCGTGACCATCTCCCCGGGGGATGATTTCTCGCTTTCTGTCTCTATGTCTCTCTCTGTCTGTCTGGCGAGCGCACGCGCCCTACAGTGAAAATCTCTCCAAAAAAAAAAAAAAATAGGCATGATCAGACCACCTACAATGTAAGTGACAAAATCCACATAAAGTAGTTAAAATTGGGCTTAGCACATACTAAGCAGTCAACAAATGCTAGCTCTATTTATTCAACAAATAAGTATTGGGTGTCTGCCACATGCCTGATTCTGTGCTAGATCCCAGAAACACAAAGGTGGCCACCACAGCTCCAGTTCCTTTCCTGAAAGAACAAATTTTCTTAAAGAATTTATTATTTTTAAGGAATTATTTTATTTAACTTTTTATTTTAATTTTAATTTGACCAGAGAGGCACAAAGTGAGAAAGAGAGAGAAAGTGAGAAAGCAAATCTCCAGGGCTGAGATTCGAGTCACCGTCCGTCATGTGGGAGTCGAGCATCCTTAACTACCATGGCACCTGCTGGCCCCGTTATTTTTCTTAAATTTGCTATAGGGTACATGAGCTCACCAGCGAGAGACAGGGAGAGAGAAACTGTGAAAGCAAGCTGCCAAGTCTGAGACTTGAACCACAGTTGGCCATATGGGAGTCCAGTGCCTTAGCTACCACTCCACCTGCTGGCTGTTAGGAAACCATAAGCTCTTAACAGGAAGCTGGCTGTGGATTGTGGGGGCCGTTAGTCGCAGTGATCAGGAAAAGTCTCCTGGAAGAAGTGAGGTCTACTCACTAGCCAGAGGGACAGATGAGGGAAGTGGGAAGGGAGAGAAACCATCACGTGCCAAAGCTCGGAGGCCAGGGGAAAGCTGAAGAAAATGCTGAAAGGAGGTCAGTGTGACTGGAGCTCGGAGGCGGAGGCGGAGCAGAGTAGAGAGGAATGCAGCTGGAGGGCCAGATCAAGATCTTTGCTGCAGGGCGGGGCAGCAGGTGGCATGGTGGTTAAAGGCATTGAACTTCCACATGGACGACCATGGTTTGGGTCCTGGACCTGGTGGCTTGCATTCTCACTCCCCACTGCCCCCCCCCACACACCCTTCCTTGCTCTCCCTCTCACTCTGTCCCTCTTTGGTCAAATTAAAATAAATAAATAAACAAAGTTAAGTAAAATAATTCTTTTTAAAAAATGTATTCATTTATTTTCATCTGACCAGAGAAAGACACACAGAGAGAAGTGAGAACGCCAGCCACCAGGCGGGGGACTCTGCAGCCTTTGTCTGCAAACAGTGGTCAGTGGGAGTGTAGTGTCCAGGCCCTTTACCACC